TGACTTGGAGACAAGGCTCGGAGTCTGGAGGATTACATGTGAAACCTTCTCTAATTCACTAATGAGGAGAAACAAAAGGTAGACTTCTCTCTGATTTTGATGTGTTTTGACATCACCTCAAAATCTCAGCAAAATTGAACAGAAGGCTATTCCCGTGTTGAGTGATAAGACACATGTGATCCCTTGCCTTGTTTCCATGGACACATCATTGGAGAACTTCCCCAGCTGGCCCCAACTGCCTGAAGTGTTGATCGCAAATAACAAGTGAAGGATTTAGTTATAACCCAAGACAAAAGCAAAACTCACATTCAAGTTCACCACGCACTATGATTAGTCCTACAGCTATGACATAATGCAACAATTATTGAAGATATGTTGGAAATTATGTTTTTTTTAATAATGTGTTTACTTGTTCTATGTTTATTTTTTGTAGTTGTCTTTCATTAGTTTTTTATTAATTAATTTTAATTATTTATCTCTACTTGTATGAACTCCAAGCCTATGAAGATTGCAGTACCAAGTATCATGTCTTCAGTTTTCTGAGTCATTCAAAGGTTATTTATAGACACTTACTGTATTCACTGGTCTTACTGCTGAAACTTCTGAAGATGGTAAAGTGTCTTCTTTTCTTTTCTTCTCTCTAGGACACATGAGATGTTTGGCACAAGTGTTTCTGTAAAAAAGCGAGGTATATTGTATACAAAAACATTTATTTGTTTTTATTTGGCTAAATATGTTTTGTTGCATGATTTGGCGGCACATCAGATAGTTATTTTGTCCCGACCATGTTGCCTTATAAGTGGCAGAATGAGCATGTGCACACTGAATACCTCCCACCCTTTGCCAGCATTTACTGCTCAGTTTACAGATCAATACAGAGCAACACATTCTTCTGATCCTGCCTGATTTGAATCTGAGCTCAGACTCCAACATGCAAATAGAACAAAGGAGGCAGAAATTATGTTCTGATCATGTAAACAGGATTCAGAGAACTTGCTGACAGGTTGGAAATTACACCCACTCAGATTTGACCCACTATGTTCAGTGATAAGCAGCACAGAGCTGTTTCAAAGTATTCCAAAGCAGCAGTACATATAACCAAAAAAGACTGGGCGTTTGAAATGCATGTACAGCCACCCAGTGGTGAGTAGTGTGTATGTACTGTACCGTTTGGCACACAGCTGTGCATAACAAATGAATCTGGATGCGTTTTGGGACGTACAAACCACTGTTATGCACCAAACCTGCACTATTGTTCCAAACAATACCTAAAACTAACATTAAAACACACCAGTCACACTCATGGCGATTTTGAACCTCCACAGACTGAGTCACAGACAAGGTGCAGTGCATCTGCAGTTTGGTGGTGGACAATATATTTTCCTTTTGAGGGCAAATATGAAATTTTCTCTTACTTGTATTGAGCTCTGAGCGTATGCCCAGACTGTTGGAGCACTCCCACTGTCACATCTGACAAAGGTTCATTTTTACACAGCAAAAAAATCACTGTTACTTAATGACATTTCACTCCAGTGTGAACTAGCAGCTAATCAGGACTTGATAACACAAAACATCTCAAAAATCAAAACTTATCTCCAGAAAAGGTGTGTGTACAGAAATCCTTGACATGATGAGCATAACAACGGTGCTTTGATTTCTTCTAACACACTCAGACGCTCTTCAATTGTGTGATCACACAGTGATGAAACTAACAATAATACAACAGCATATGATGTTGAAAATCTTGACATTGTGGGCAAGCATATTTAAAATACATTGTATACCGTGTCTTCATCACAATTTCCCTAGCTTTTTTTTTATTAATATGAAAACAAAGTATTCCCTTTAACATTAGATAAGTTTTAATGTCCCATGGAATGAAATGATATGTTGAACTGGATACGTGGAGATTACATTAAATGTAGGCTTCTGAACTACTTGTGTGCTGCCCATCATGACTCAACCTTTCTTTAATGTTTAGGATTATCACTTGATCATTTGTTTTCTATTGCTCACTCCCACTCACCCCCACCACACACACACTCACACACACACACCTATTCACTCACTAAAATTACTGCTATATGGTACTCAATATTAAAATGCATGTATTTGCACATAGAGTTCCTCTACATGTTATTTTGCTTCCCATGATCGTTGTGCCTCCCTCAGGCAGACGAATGAACTGACAAAGAGCAGTGACACATTTAATTTGTTGTTGTTGCTTGTAATTAATTTGTTTTGACACATGAGTGGTGGACATCCTTGATTTAAACTTTACCTTTTGTAAATTTCTCAAGCCACCACATCACCTCCTTCAGAACATGAGCTAAATTGAAAGAAAATCCACAACAAGTAATATCTGCTTATCCTCCTCAGTTTCACTCAGTAGAATCAGCTGTAAGATCATCATAAGGTCACATATTATCTACCTGTGAAAAGCAGAAACAGGTGTCCTAAAAATTTCTACTGAGCTTCTATAGGCACTTTAAATGTGTGGCAGTGCATTCATATGATCTGTTTCTTTAATACAGATTGAAATGATAAAAATTCCACTAAGGATGAGGACAGTCAGACTAATCTTTGTGTACTGAGTTGACCTTCAGGTGCACTGCAGCATAATATAAAGAGCATTATAGATCTAGTTGTTGAAGTCGTCAAGTGAAAAGTAATGCATTGCAAAGGCAGAAAACAACCACACTGACTGAATAAAACGATTGTTAATCAACAGTTCTGCCTTCGGTATCTGTGATGCCAACCCCAGATCTATACCTGCAGCTGAAAATAAGAGTAGAAACGTATGAGTCTATCTGCATGTAGAATAATTCAGTTATATTGTAAGTTATATTGATGAATTCTTGTTTGGGTAGATGGAGCTGAGGACAGCTGCCGTGTCTTGAAATCCTCCTCAAATTTAACTTCTGCATTATTTTTTTATCTTAGATTCTTTTACTGGTGTGAATATCTGTTTTTTAATTATTGTTTGAGCATTGTTGGAGGGAGCCGGAGAATGAAAAATGTCATTGCCAATGACCACTTCAACATAACTCTTTGTGGGTACGTTAATCATGTAGGCCTACATAAGATAAGTGAAGATAAGATATAACTTTATTAATCCCCTGTAGGGGAAATTTCGGTATATAGCAGCACAATGGAATATAAAAGAACAGATGCAGTATTGTACAAGTATTAACACACTGTTTACACATTTACAACCATTTACAACCAGATAAATTTCTGAAATATAATCAGGAAAATCTGTCAGTTTAGTGCTGTGGTGTTGTGGAGCCTGATGGCTGAAGGCACAAATGAGCCTCCAAAGCGCTTAGAGGCTCGGGGCTGGAGGAGTCTGTGGCTGAAGGAGCTCCTGAGCTGCCTCAGCTCAGCATAGAGAGGATGAGAGTTGTCCATGATGGTTTTCAGCTTCCCTCTCATCCTCCTCTCAGTCACTGCCTCCACACTGTCCAGTTCCATCCCCACCACTGAGCTGGCCTTCTTCACCAGCTTGCCCAGTTTGTTGGCACCACAAGTCCCCATGCCACCTCCCCAGCACACCACAGCGATGCAGATGCACTGGCCACTACAGACTGGTAGAACATCCGCAGCAGCCTGGTGCACAAATTGAAGGACCTGAGCCAGGAAGAACAGCCTACTCTGTCCTTTCCTGTAGAGGGCCTCGATGTTGTCTGTCCAGTCCAGTTTATTGTTCAGTTGCACCTCCAGGAACTTGTAGGTGTCCACCATCTCTACTCCCTCACCCCTTATTACAACAGGGGCCTCTTGCTGTGTCTGAAGTCCACCACCAGCTCCTTGGTTTATCCTGTGTTGAGCTGGAGGTGGTTGCTGTCACACCATCCAATGAAGCTCTCAGTCAGGTCTCTGTACTCCTCAGAGCCTGCAGCCTGCATGCAGCCTGACATACTGTGGCCTGTTAGTGAGGTAGTCAGTGATCCAGGTCACCAGGTCCTGATCCACTTGCATCATGGAGAGCTTCTCAGCCAGCCGGAGAGACTGGACGGTGTCAAAAGCACTGGAGAAGGTAAAGAACATGATCCTCACAGTGCTGTGTGGCTTCTCCAGGTGGGTGTAAGCTCTGTGAAGCAGGTAGATGATGGCATCGTCCACGCTAATGCCAGCCTGGTACGCAAACTGCAGAGGGTCCAGGCAGTTGCGTACCAGGGGCTTGAGGTGCTGCAGAACCAGTCTCTTGAAATTCTTCATTACATGACGTTAGTGCCACAGGCCTGAAGTTGGAGAGGTCGCTGGAACAGACCTTTTTGGGGACAGGGATGATGCAGGATATCTTCCACATCTTTGGCACCTTCTTCAACCTCAGTGAGAGGTCAGAAAGATGCCGGAACACTCCCGCCAGCTGCTCTGCACACACCTTGAGGACCGTCAGGTGGATGTCGTTGGGTCCCCTGACCTTGTTGATCCGGGTTCTAGTGAGTTGTTGTCTCACCTGGCTGGTTGTGATGACTGGGGTGGAGGGGAGGTGGGAGTGTAGGGGAAGGGAAGTGGAGGGGAGAAAATTGAGGGGGAGGGTGGCGGAAGGGGTGTGGAGGGAGGAGACTGAGATGGAGGGGAGAGAGGACAGGTAGGAGAGCAGTGATCCTTTGGAGTAGCAGGGAGGTATATGGAGGGGGGGTGGGGAGTAACCGAGGCGAGGCTAATTGAGCAGGTGGAGGGGGGTCCAGCTTTGTTGAGTCAAACCTGTTGAAAAACTGGTTTAACTCGTTGGCTCAGTCCTTTAGATTGTCCTGATTCAGGTAAGCAAGTGCTGCACATTCCCTTTATTAACGTAATGTGGCTGTTAAAAAGGGAACATTTGTTTATTCATCAGTATGTGCAATTAAATTATTGCCAATTAAATAGCTAGGTCTATATTTAAACTGCTTAAGAGTAGTCAGCAAAAAATATTTTTTACAGCCAGGCTGCTGTTCTAACCCCAGTCCGGTAGGTGGCGGTAATTTGGTGTAAACCAGTTTACCAGGTAGGTGCCAACACAAACATGAAGAAAGAGAAGAAGATGAAGTAAAACGATTCTGCTCTTTGGTGTCTTGTTCCTCCAAATATGTAACACATTGCGGACACACTCTCTGCTTTAACTGTCATTACCTGCATACCATGGCGGATTATCAGTTTCTGTTGGACGTGGGAATCTCGGCCGAAAAGGACGGTTGCTGTTTGTGTTGCTCTTGTTGTTATTGTAGCTAGCGCTACTGTTAGCTAAATTAGCTAACATTGCTGTCTTCGCTCTCAGGAGCTGAGGTTGATTCATTGCTGCGGGGCAGTAAACCAATGTTTATGTTACGCTTCTTAACTCGTTACGTAATTGGCCTAGCCAGCATTTGAGGCAAGGTTAGTGCACGATATGCTAACGTTATTTGACAAGTTAACGCTAACATCTGTGTGCTTTAGAAGAAGACTCTTCAATTAAAATGTTATTATTAGTTAGCTAAAACACCGAATGGTGCCAGCAGCGTAAGCTTTAACGTTAACTAACTTAGTTGGCGTTATTGCTGTCTGTATGTTTTGAGATGGAGCAGCAGGAAGCAGCCAGTGGGATGGCTCTAATTCCTCATACCACATCTGTCTGAGTTGTGCGTCTCTGAAAGAGAAATCATGTCTTGCAAAGCCGCAACCAAGGACAAGAAGTCGAGCTTCAGCAAGAAGCTGTTCAGGCGAGGCTCAGTGCGCTCTGTGGGCAGTTTCATGAGCAGAGTCCTGAGGACACTGACAGCGTTATCCCACTTTGGATCTGAAGTGCAAACAGAGGACGACAAAGACGATGGAGGATTTTCCACGTTTAAATCTGGAAGTAAAGATGTGCACATGGATGATGGGGACCTCGGAGGTTTCCTGTCTGGAGAGAGAGTTCCTGGAGTGTCAGGTCTCAAAAACCACGGGAATACCTGCTTCATGAATGCAATTTTGCAGTGCCTCAGTAACACCGAACTCTTTGCGGAGTACCTCGTTTTGGAGCACTATAAAGACGAGGAGCTGGATGAGGACAAACCAAAGACAAATGGCATACATCTGCAGAAGAAGGGTCCTCTGGCCAAAGGAGAGGTTACAGAGCAACTGTCAGGACTTGTCCGGGCATTATGGACGTTTGAGTACACCCCCCAGCATAGCAGGGATTTCAAGGTAAATTTATTATAGTAGAGCACACTGTCTGTGGAAATAATTACTTTTTCAACACATGCTGAAAATGCCAGTACTGATCCACAACACTGCTACACAAATGATCTTTAGGATCTGCAGTGGCTAAAACTCCAGGACCAACAAATATAAACCTTACATGCATTGTGACCTTTGGCCAATTTTCTTTTGCAGAATGCTGTGTCAAAAAATGCCACC